TCGTGACCTAGCCAAACAGGAAAACATCAAAGATGTTTGGGAATGGTCAATGGTTCTGGAAATTCTGGAAGACTCAGTTGAAACGAGTAGATTCTCCTAATCAAACCACAAAAACTACACACTTAAATCTCAGATATTGGTTTGAGAAGGCTGCACAAAAGCTTTGATGCGTTGTTTCCACCTTGCCATCAACTTTGACTTCTTGTGGCATAGCGCCGCCAGGGCTGTCCTAGTAAAACGAATACGGGGCAAGACTGACAATCAGTTTCAATAACAAAATCTGAATCCTGATACGACAGGTGACACGCAGAACCTGGTGACATCAAACAAGTGGTCGGTTCAAAAGAATGAAGTTATCTATATGCCAAAACATCAATCACACCTTGTGAGCATAATCGAGAGTGTCCGCAGGCGCCGTAGGACATTCATCATCCATTGCCTCCACAGCGGCTACAAGCAAAACATACCATGTGTTTGAGACATGGCAGGGTTCAGGAAAACATGTACAGAGACATTACTGACATTAAAGACAAACCGCCTTTGGTTCAATCTCAACAATCACAAGACACACCGCTGACAGTGACAGCACCTAGTTCCAAACATAACCTCGCCTTGGCCTTGACATGTGTATTGCCACCATCTGTGTTGTTCGTCACAACGAAGGTGATGAAATCTCTCAAGTCCTCGCCTGGGTCGCCTTCATCATTCCCAAATACCCAGTCGTCATCAACCATGGTTACTGTTCTGGTGTGGTGCACGTAACGTTCAAACAAAGGATGTGATTGAGCACGGGAAAGTTCGTGGTCAAACTGGAACCTTTCATCACCCATGATGTCATCAATCGTGTCGACACTCGTGATCTTGGTGTAATCAACGCCCGTGTCAGTAAAGAGCGCACCAGTATGATGAACAGCATCGCCAGCTTGCACAGGTTGAACTTGACCAGGGGTCGTGGTGTCAGTGTTGCCCGGCTGGCCCGGCTCACGTTTGACTGTGAGGTCAGACATCATGAGACTGCATAGCGAAATGCCTGTTTGCAAATGGGCGACCCTTTGTGCAAATGCTGGGTTCTCACCAAGCGACAACTGATTCTCCAATGCTGATATTGCAAGCTGTTGTTGCTCCATCAAGTCATCAATATGCTGCTTGGAGTTAGATAGCTGATCTGGAAGCGAAGAAAGAGCCTTGCCGATCTATTCAAAACAGTTTCCATCAAAGCGGGTTGTAGTTAGTTGTACTCAAAAAAACTTGAAACAAAGATGATCTGCTTTGCAGACAAGGAGCAAACAAATCACACCCTTCGAAGTCGCCCTCTGGAAATAAAGAGCAGTTGGTCCATTCCATGATTCCGTTGTTGGCCTGAAAAGTCAAATAGCCAGGTGGAATGGTGATTCCCTGCCCCTTCTTCAAGTAGACAAAGAAGCCACCCTCCTCATTCTCCAATGTTGTACGGTGCTTGCTCCCCAAGCTGGTTGACACATCCACAATAGTCTTGTTTCCTTTTGTTATGTTTGCCGTAAAGGACTTCATAGGTAGGCCTGCAACAAAGTGTTGATCTCCATCAAGCACCATGATGACTTTGCCAAACATAAAGTCAGCGAAAGTAGTACACTGCCAATTCGCGCCAGTTGTTGAAACTTTGGGCGCAAGCAGGACGGAGAGGTTAGCTTCCTTCAACTTCTCATCCGACGAATCATGGAGCATTATACTTCCTTTGACAAACTCGTGAAGCCACTTGTGCACGTCTGAGTCTGGTTCATCTTCAAAGCATGTCAAAGGGTGAACATGCCCTTTGCTGATAAAGTTGGCTGCACCATCCGGATTCTTCTGTCTCATTTTTTTGCACTCGCTGGGGTCGTAAAGCTTGACATCAATCAAATGTTTGGTCAAGCGGTCAACTGCAAAGTCAAAGACAGTTGGCTCTGTAGCTGAAGGACTTTTGATATCCCGCACGTGTTTGCTCAGCGGGGACGTCAGTAGCTCGTCTGCAGTTGAAACAAGTGGCCACACATCCTCATCATTTTCCTCCTCCCCATTCTGTTCTGCTGTCTCCTGTCCACCTTCTTGATCAGCCAACGCCTTGCCAGCTGCCTTTGCTTTTGCAAGCTCCTGCTTGCGCTTCTTCTCTTCTTTCTCACGCAACTGCTCTAGACGCACTTTCTTTGCCCGCTCTCTCTCCTCCTCCAACTTTGCTTTTGTCACATATTGGTTGCACGACTTGATGGCCTTGTTCAAAGACGATTCAAGGCTGCTCATTGATTTGTCATATTCCGACAAACTCTTCT